CCCCAAAAAGAAAGCAGGTCCGGGGGCCCTTTCCATTGAAAATTTTGATTCCTAGATGGCAGAAAATGAGCTTTCCCGACTTCTCAGTGTCTTTTAATGACTTGTTCAAAATTCAAGGTTTCACACCTCTTAAAAACGTCAGGTAAATTTTCTCATTCTTATTAAAGTAAATAGGCCTATTATGTGTGTATACATACATAAAAAAATTTGAGTAGTTGCATACGTATGCTTTTTTCTATGGATCGATGAACCCCAAAAAGAAAGTGGGTCAGGGGTCTCCTCCCTGGGAAAATTTTGATTCCTAGATGGCTGGAAATGAGCTTTCCCGACTTCTAATATATTGTAACCAAAAAAATTTCAGTTCACGTGGGCCCTGATTCAGATAATATAGGTCTAGAAATTTTTTGTGATTGGCAGCCCAAGAGAGGGGAAGGGGGTGTCAAGTCCCCTGAACCTCCCCCAGATCTGCTAATGAACATAAATGTAAAGAATTATTTCATTTCATTTCTTTAGGCACGAGCGCCAAGGATATGCTAATACGTGAACTTAATTCTGTCCTACGTGGCATATCCATTTAACAACAGGGGACATAATGGACCAGTACACTTGGGTAATCCCCCACTCTTCTCGAAGGATGTACTGGGTTCTTTAAAGTGCACACAAGCCAAATGCGTACACTGGGCCTACGGTTTAAAGTCCTTATCTGAGAAGACTTGTTCCACCACCGGAACAAGTGAGCCGTTCGAACCAGAGCCGATATTCGGGCTGAAGGTTACGGTGCCCCTGACTTAACCGCTTGGCCAATTAGCAATTAATAACATTAACTCGCTAATTAGCAATTAACAACAGTATAATATATACAATTACTACAGTAATGATCATTTACACTGATCCACAAGCTATGTTGGGTGTGGGGAACAAATTTCAAAAGGGAAAATGACAGGAAAATTATCCATGATTTAAATTTATTTTGATATACAAAAAAAAAAAAACAAACACAAAAACTAAAAGTTATGATATATGGGTAACCCTCTAAGTGCTAACACAAGATTTATGGTACCATGGAAAGATAGCTGGGAGGCAACAAGTCTAGACTCAATTCCTCCATAAAGAAAATTACTCAAATGACAATTACACAAAGGACACACTTGAGAGGACACTTTGGTTGCAAATCAAGAGAAAATATAATATCTGTTAACAATACAGCCAACCCATATATATTCAATTGTACTTTTATGGTACAATGAACTTTTTTTCCATAAATAAATGTAGCTTCTCTGCATATAAATGGTCCAGTGTTTGCACACAATGACCAAGACAGTGTCAGGTCACATGATTAAATATTAAATTCTGGAATAAACCATACCACTTCTGTTAGAGTTCTCATACAACGTCAGATCAACTAAGACAATTGTAACAGGTTAGATTAACTTGTATTTTTAAATAATCTGTAAGATATTACCAATAGGCCTAGTGTGGATATACACTTAAACATTTCAACGAAATTATCATAGCGCTATGCAATACATATAATACAGAAAAGATCTAGCCAAAATAACCAATTTGTAACTTTAAAAATCGCTGTGGCTAGAGATACAGTATCATATCTTAACTTCTGTTTGCTAAAGGTACGGTAAAATCGCTTGCTGTGAGCCTGCTTTCCTGCCAACTACACTTGGGCTAGGTCTTAATCAGTAACTTTAATACTAACTACTGTAGTGCATTAAAAAACAGCATCATCAGTAGCAGGATTTCAAGCAAAGAGTTTCAAAATAAAAAAAAAAACAAACAAAAAGCAGGTCATGGATAATTTCGAGTCTGAGAATGGCTAGAAATGAGCTTTCTCAAATTCTAAGGGTCTTTTTTGAATGATTTTCAAGGTTGCATAAACGCAATGGCTAGGGATAATATGGTACCGGAACTCATCTTCCATTTGCTAAAGCATTCATTTTTATTTTTTGAAAATTATGAAACCCCTTGCTTCATATCAATCAACACAACAAAATCTGTACATGCCTGTCTCACATTTTCCTTGTAAAAATAATAATTTGAATATTGTTATAGTGACTGCATTAAGCTTTCAAAACAATCTGATAGTACTACGTTGAAAACAAACTGAATAAATATACTTGTACAATGGAGCTTTTATTTAGTATCTGCATATAATTGAA